GTTGGATGTCTCTCTTTTAATTAAGTGCCCTTGTCATGGATATGGACTCATTTGCCCTTTCTTTTGGGCCCTTACACCACTAAAACGATTTAAAAGGAAAAGTAATAGAAATGACTAGAAGAGAAACAAAACTATTTCTCCTTTTAACTGTATGCTTTGATAAGAGGAGTGCATTTCTTGAGATTGGATCCCTCTCCATTGAGATGTGTGATTTGTTGGACAAAAGCATTGGAATCTACTTCTTATGCCCCGATTAGATAAAAACTAATATTAAAACTTTGTTAAGTTGTATAATTTAGGTTATTTGCCAGTATGTAGTATTAATTAGTACATGGTTAAATAATTGTTTAATGTTTGTTTAATGTTTCGAAGATCAAGATATTATTGATATTAATTAGTTGTCCCAGTATTATTTAATGTTCACGTGGTGATATAATTAGTTACCGGTATATTGCGTTTTGTATTCTACAAGTACAAATAATGAAATAATATACATTAGCCATACGCACCCTAAAAAAAATAATTTTGGCAAATTTCACTTATACATCCTATATTTTAGGGATTATTTGAGGGAGCAACTCATTTTGGAAATATATAAAATTAACTATCACGTGGATTACACATTTGTTGATACTCTTTCATGTTTTTTTTTTTCTTTTTAAATTTGGCATACCCTCGGCCACATGGGGTATTGAATGTATCCTTAAAAAATCAATTTTAAGACAACATGTTGCTTGCGTTTACTTTCACGATTGCATTATGTTGGTATAATTAATAACAATCTGCGTAAACGAAAATACTTACTTGTTTGTCGAAAAAAGGAATTGTGAAAACCACAAAGAACGATTGAGGCTTGCCAAAGCAATTCCCTTAAGACAATATTTCCGGGCTGTCAACGGTGCACAGTCTCTTCCCGGTAGTCTCCCAAGGTACAACGATCGGTTGTCGAATATTTGCACGAATATTCGACCCACGGCGAACTTGAACAACGAACGGAACTTTGATGAAGAAAAAGAAAAATATGAAGAACTATCTCTCAATTGCCGATTAAATTCAGTACAGAATTGGCCAGATTCTGCCTTTATTTATAGGTTGTAAAGATCCATTCACAGAGGGATGCAATGGTTGGAAGAAGAAGCAGAGAGATGTGTCTGTTCTTTTTACCGAGTTCAAAAAACGTAGGAAAATTAATTGGTTATGGGCCAATTAATTAATTTGGTTTCGGCCAAGTATTTTATTATTTGAATTTTAGTTCAAATAATTTGACTAACTACTAAATGTCCCCAAAAGTAATATTTGTGGACATCTAAACCCAAACTAGTCCTATCACTCGATCACACCGAGCGCACATCTTTTGAACTTTAACCATTTAATCAAGACAATTTTCATTCACTTTACTTCATGATTTTGATCAAGTAAATAAATGAAATTAATCTTTACATAATTAAATTAATATTACTCAATATTAATTATTGGAAATCATGAAAATTCCAACACATTAATCTCGCATGCTCCACGTAAAACGCGCATCTTATCTAAGAAAAATATTGAGGAAAATCTGGAATCAATTCCTATGATCAATCACATTTGCAAATATTTCACGGAGCAAATTTGTTATAATTATCGTGCAGAGGATTTTCTGGCTATGCCATTGTTTTCAAGCTTTCGTGCTGAGAATTTATATGGTGCAGAGGATTTCTGATTTTTCGCCAGTTGTGATCTTAGCAAAAGGCATTTGGTTTTCTTTCGTTCCGTTATTTTTTGTAGTTTTGATTTTTCCTTTTTTTATTTTTGTATTTTGGTTGATATTTATTCACAAATATACGTCGTACTTTGTTACAATTTGTTCGTACAATATTATATTGCTTATTTTATATTTTTTGGTGCATCGTATCGCAACGATTATGCGCAACGTGAGAGGATTTTCTACAACACTACCATGTAATTTACATGTTCAGGTTGTACTTTTGAATTAAAATTATTTTTTTGATTTATTGATGTCTTTATTTGAAGATGTCTGGTATCGTGAAGCCTTTCAAGTTTCAGAGTGTTTTTACTTTTTGGGGTTAAAAAATGCAATTGTCTGAGTTTAGTTATGATAAGTGTTCAGTGGAATGTCTCGGTTATGGACAATCTGGACATGTCGTATACTATAGTTGGGTACATGCTATCATTGATTCGGCATATTGAGATAGTTGTTAAATAGAAAAAGGGTGCCATTGCATATAGAGTTGTTGTGATTCCACTGTGTCCAAGTACGAATGTTTTGAGTATGTTGAGGGGAATTATTGTTTCATCTGTTCAAACTCAACTTTTAAGTTCCAAAAGGGCAAACCTTAGCTTATTACGGGGGTTGGACATGTCTTTTAAGGTAGTGCTAAGAATTTCAGGAGGTCGCCATGTTTATACACTGTGGACATGGGGTTTGAGTTCAGTTATGTGAAGAATGAGCGTATTAGGGTTACTGTGGTTTGCAAGGACAAGATGTCGGAGAACTGTATGTGGAGGATCCATGCTTCGATTGAGCATGTTAACGGTTTCTTTTACATTAGAAAATTTGAGAAACATCACATGTGTAGATGTATTTTGGGACGTCCAGTAAGCAGATGCTGACTTTTGACATTATTGTTGAATTGATTGCTATGTAGCACGGACACGGAAACGGCGATACATGAAAATAGGGAAATGGCATGTCCCATAATGGATATACGAGAATTTGAGGTAAACGTATAAATATTAAAAGTATAGGGGTATATTCATAAATATACTATATGAACATATATAAGTTTTTATTTATATGTAATTTTTTTAATATATTTCCATACAAATATATTAAAAATAAATTTTATTACCAACTATCAATTAGCAATTGATCATTAAATTATATAATTAATTAGGGAAGCAATAAATATATTTGAAAATTTACTATTCAAACATGTTTGTAACTTTTCAGAAATTACAAAATGATCATAAGGTGTCCTTGAGTGTCGGTATAAAAACGTGTCCCAAACACGGATACGTTAATGATATGCCTAATTGGGCCTACCCAATGAGCCTACAATTCCTTTACCTACTGGGCCACGAGCCCAATATTGAAGACCACTACTACCGAGGCCCAATCACCTCAAAATAATGTTTTGGCCCGACAATCTCAACTAATTAAACTTCAGCCCAATCAATGAGGTATAAATAAATGTTTGAACTCATTCCTTAAGGTACATCCTATTATCTGAGTAATACTACAACCTGTATTCTCTGGACTATTTCTACTATCCGCACGTCTGACTTGAGCGTCGGAGGGGTTTCCGCCGGATCAACCCCCGACCTAGTTCATGTGTTCTATGATCGCAGGTATCTCAAGGTCATCAAATTCGTGAGCGAGTGATCCACTCTGCTCTTCCAGCTCATCCTATTTCAACACTCTAAGGTGATCTATCTCTAGCATCATCAGTTAACAAGTTGAAGTATCGGTGGTACATATATCGATTGTAAATGACCTCAGAGCCAAGTCAAATTGGACAGTGAATAATGTTGTTATGGGCACAAAAAATTCACTTCGGTATTAATATTAGTTATTTTGTTTGTTGGATGGCTGCTCGTGCTGCAACAAAACATGCATTTGGTGACCATATATCATCTTATTCTTACTTGTCGTCTCACTTTGAAGAACTTGGATCCAATCTAGAAACAAATGTTGATCTTGATATTGAATAATTAATATTTAGTAAAATAATATGAATGAGATGCAAATCAAATGTTTAGTACTCCAAGTTCAAATCAAACGTCTCTTTCGAACAATATCTTTGTTCCATATACGTGCCTTTAAATTTCAATGTTTGATTCTTATTTTTTATTTATTATAAGCTTACTAATTTTCACAAACAAAGAAAGTAATTATTGAAGGAGATTTAAATGAAAGGATATTTTTTAGTCATATAACATTCATAAAATTCATATATGTCTATTAGGTTTCTTAATATATTTATCAGAACCTTAAACAACATTTAATGAAGTTAGGGACCAGATGATTATGGATCGATAACGGGACGAGTTTTCCTAAACTTGAAACCCGACAGGTAAAAAATATTTAAAACTTAGGCTCGTCCCAACTCGCCTTAACATAAATAGACTCGGCCTAACTCATCCCCGAACATAACTGATCTGATTGCTAGACTCATAGACCCGTTAACATTTGATATTAATTTTTAACTCTTATTATATATATTTTACTTGTTTATTTACGACATATAAATGTCAAAATTCAAATACGATATTATATAAGGTTACATGTTATATAAATTGAATAATACAAATATATCATTAATTTATTTAACTACTATAATAATAAAGTTTAAAAGGCAGATCGCTAGCGATGATCGGCAAACATTAGATATGACATAAAAAAAATTGGATTCAGGAAAATGAAACAGTCAAAAGAGGCATTAAAGAAGAGCGAAAATATGTAAAGTGAAAACTTTTGATTTGCGAAATTCAAAACTTATTTATGTGTGCAGAAATTGTAAACGACAATTAATTCGAAATGGAGAGCATCATTTTTTGAAAATAAGAGAAACTGAAAATTTAGTATGATCTTAAATAAATAATGGCCCATAACTCCCATGTCTTTTTCCAAAATATGTAAATAATAAAGGCAACAAAATAACCCAAAGCTGTAATGTTTATAAACGGTTTATACTATGCTACACTGGTTGAAATACATCAGGTAGATCTTTACCATTCATATATACACAAACACAGACACACATGAATGGTAAAGATCTACCTGATGTATTTCAACCGGTGTATTCAACCGGTGTAGCATAGTATAAAATCAACGGTACAAATCCACTCGGTGTAACCTTCAACGGTTGTAGTATATAAATAACCTTAATAAACTGAGGGAAGAAGCATGGATTAATAATATCTTTCAACTTTGAGACAAAATATATACAATAAATTGTAAATATAGACTTGTCTTCTAATCACTTCCATAATTAAAATTACAAGAAACCCGATTCACCGATCTTGTTTACCGGTGCCGGATGTGCAAGGAAAGTAGGAATCCTTTCTCCGGGCATTAATACTGACACTCCTTGTGGATAAACAGTCACCTGAAACATTTAAAAACATATTAATTAAACAAGGTTGTTTTACGATTTACATTTAAAATTAAATAAAATTCATACAACGAGAAATCAATCTTTGGCGAACAATAAAGTTGTGATTAGCAAACAAATAGTCAAAATACCAAGCAATATATATATATATAGACACACACACACACACACACACACACACACACACACACACATACACCGGGTAAAGATCTACCGTTCATCTACATACACACCAACATGGATATGTGTGTTTTATGTGAATGAATGATTACGATATACCTAGTATATTCCACCGCGTGTAGCATGAAATAAACACATACATGCTACGTAATTAACTTATATGAGGAAAGATTCTACGAATTTGATGTGTCACTTTCAAATATGGCAACATGACAGATAAATATCCCGACGATGCTAAATATATTCTCTGTACTTATAAAAAGGTCGACGTCGGATCGGAATGTCTAACCATGATGAAACAACAAGCCACAAAGAATGACATGTAGTCATATATATATTGAAGATGAAAAAAATTATGCGGTGATTGTGGAGAGGACCCGAACGTAAGAGTAAAAAGAGCAACGATATGATTGTTTTAAGAAAATTAAACAACTAATGACTCTTGGACAGAATCACATGTTAATTATTATGACAAAGAAGGGTCCTACTAAACCACAAACAAAAAGACCATGAGAAATTAAAGCAGATTATAATGTCTCATGCTGGTGTCACAAAGTAAGAATTTAAAATTGTGGTAAAGGCATATACTCATATTTTTATTTAATTTTTTTGAAGAAAAAGACAGATACTAATAAGACTAATGGGAATCAGGCTAATAACGATGAAACAACAAATACAGATGCAACAACTTTCCAGCAAGATTGACAACAATGCTTAATGCATAAATAAATATTACATAATTAAATATGCTCCTACTTTAGATTGCTTAGTTTGAACTCATCAAGACATTTACAAAATGGCACACATACTTCGTTATATGAATTAGCTTTATCATAGGTTACTACATCCAAAGTGCCGTAGCGATTCTATTTTGCAAATATGAATTTCATGAACACGAATGTCGTATCACAAACAAAAAACACACACACACCCATGTTAATGAGTGCGCAGATAGACGACATAATTTAATGAGGTGTATACTTCACCGGGCGTAGCATAGTTTTGACATTTTCCAATTGAAAAACGAAAAAGATAAAAGCTTGTAATTATATAACTTAATTTGCACATTATGGGACAAGAGCACATGAGGTGTCAATACAAGGCTTATTAGATGGCTTTTTATTATATTGAAATAAAGGGGCCCTGATATGTTTGTTATGTATTGTCTAAGACTAGTTTATATTTTGGTTCAACATAGTAGCTTATATAATGGTATAAAGAAAAATATTCCAAATTAAGAATTTTAGGCCTCCGTTTGGTTGACAAGATAAGATTAACCAATATAAGATTAATTAAATAACCTAATGAAACTCAATTGTACTATTAGACATTGGAAAATCCAATAAACAAACATGTCTAGAAAGCAAGATAAACCATAATAATATAATATTTGCGTGTCGACCAGACAAGTTATTGGGTATACCAAACATCAAACAAAATCCTATTATTTAGTTAATAATTTAGTTAATATTAACTAATCTCCCCAACCGAACGAGACCTTAGCATAAAAAAATTGAGAGTAGAATGCAGTAAGTACCCTATTGACTAATTCTTATACCTTACACCAACAAGAACTTGAGAAACACATTTACTTGACAATCTTCAAATAAAAATAATTGTTTAATTCAATAAAGTTGTTCAATACGAATTATATACTTTTTTTTTTCAAAAAAAAATAATGTACCTTTGGGGAAGGCGGGTAGTCTAATTTTGTCACATTTGCCTCGTCGTCGCTGGCCGGGTTGCGGCCGGCGGCGGCAGGAGATCGGGGACGGAGAAACTTCTCAAAAATGGCCATGACAAGAAACATGCAGATAAGAACAGCGGTGGCGACGAAGCCAAACGACACAGCGCTGACGGAGTTGTCGAAGCTCCTCCACTCATCATCCCTGTCAACACCGCCGCCGCTCACCGCCGCCGGAGGCGCCATTCTCGGCGCAGCTACAATACTGATACCAGCAGTAACCACCCTTACCATTGAACCAATAATCCCTATGCATATAAATATCAGAAGAGAAATCACTATATTTTCAACTCAATCAAGCTTTGAAATTTTGATTTTTCACCATGGATTGTGGGTCTTTAATTCAAAAAAAATCAAGGATAAGAAACAGAGATTTGATTTGGTAAATGGGATTGTGGTATTTGCAATGTTGGTCAATGAAAATAATTACGTGCATAAATGCATTGCGATTTTTCCTACAAATTTCGAGACTTAGAATTCTTCTACTAGTACTAATTAATAGAAAAAAAAAAAAAAGGGGGGGGGGGGGGGGGGGTAGGGTTTTAATTTGGCACTTTATATCTAGTTAGTACTCTACACGGAGTTGATGAAAGATTGATTTTCAAGAAGAAGAGAGAGAAAGTGATTTTGAAGTTGGGGATTGAGTTCTTGTTCACTGTCTACAAGACGGGGGGATTTGACTCTTGACAAACCCAAGGTGGTGCTAATTATGTGGCATTTCATTATCAGGGATAAATTGTGGGAGTTGTTAATTCGCTTTATTCTTTTTCTATCTTTACAAAAAAAATTAAAAAAAAAAATTGAAGAGTAAAAGCCTCTTGTGTGTGGTGGTGGAAATTGAAATTAAATTTTCTAGTATTGTGGATTCCGATCCGAAAATAAAAAAATTTCTGAATTTGGAACTATTTTCTTCATTACGTTTTTTTTTTTTTTTGAATTATTTTTTTATCGTTCAAAGTCATTAATTTGTACAACTAATTATCTTTTTTCAAGAACAATTAATGTGAAAATAATGAGATTAGTGAAAAGTTCAAAGATCACATAACATATCCTATGTTAGAGTAATATACTACTACATCCTTCCCAAATTTAGTGACATTTTACCCCAAATCACACATATTAAGAAACCTAATTAATGACCTATTTTTAATAGAAAAATTCCAAATTACCCTTTGCAATGCTATTAAATGAGCTCTTGGTAAAACTCAACAAATGTATATAATTGATACTATCATCCATTAATATCACTCTCCTACAAAAGATTACAATTGAAATTTTCTATTATCCGCTGCAAAACAACACAAGCCAATAAAATGAAAATTTTAATTTCACTTCCCACTAAATTTTTTGGAAACATAAAAAGATTAAAAAAAATCACTTCCCACTAAAAGTTTTGGTGACAAAAAGAGATTAAAAAAATTCACTTCACACCAAAATTGCCAATAAACCTAAGTCTGACTTTAACTATTGAGATTAAAAAAATTCACTTGCCACCAAAATTGTCTATAAAACAAAGTCTGACTTTAACTTTTGAGTATAAAAAAATGAGAGAACCCTTAGTTGAATTAGATTTAAATATAGAGTTATCAGAAGCTGATAGTAACAATGGAAATTGGCAACAAGATTAGGAAGCTAGAATTAATTTACAGCATCTTAATATTGTTGCTCCAGAGTTTGTTGATGAGTATAATCTCAATCTAAATTCTTCAATAACTGAGATATTTCAAGTGGATGATTTTTCACAAGGCCTAAATGATGTTCCATTCGTAGAAACTTTTGAGGAAGTTCGATTGAATACGGGTACTTCTTTTTTATTTACTGCTTATAAAAATTACTTTATGTTCGCAAATTAATTCCTTTTATGTTTCAATATTCTTCTCTTTTTCTTTATATTTTTTCTAGTAGACAAAAACATAAATGATGAAAATGAGGAATTATCACATCCACCAATTGGTCATACGAGGAATTGGAAGAACTTAAGGAATGACAAAAACTTAAGTAATGACAAACGTAGAGCAATCAACAATATGTTACTACCAAAAAGTAACAACGAAAAATTGAAGAGAGGAGTGACAAAGATGGTAGCTTTACAATTTTCAGTTTCCTTACGAACTGTCAACGCATTTGGAAACAGTCAGATAAGGGTAGAAAAAACGGTGTATCTCATAGAAGGGTAAACAATTGCCATCAAAAGAGAATTCAGATTGATTGTGATCAAATACGTGGAATTCCTTTAAACCGAATGTCAATGTTGGAGTCTTTAGCTCGTTCTTTGAACACGGGCAAAAGCACATTGTGTAGGCCTTTTAAGTCGGGATATATACGACGGCGTTCAAACGCTATAAAACCATATTTAAAAGAGGAAAACAAAAAATATCGTTTACAATTCAGCTTGTCAATGCTTGAAGGTGATTATACACAACGTGATCCACTAAAATAGTGAGATGTATAACATTATTCACATCGACGAGAAGTGGTTCAATCTTACAAAGAAATCAGAGCATTACCACTTGTTACCCGATGAAGAAGATCCACATCGCACTTGCAAAATTAAAAACTTCATTGTAAAGGTGATGTTCTTAGTTTCTATTGCTCATACAAGGTCTTATGAACAAGGAAACGAACTTTTTTATGGAAAAATAGGCGCGATTCCTTTTGTTACACAAGAGCCAGCGAGAAGGATGAGCGTAAATAGAGTTGCTGGCACAATTGAGACAAAACCAATAACCTCGGTAAATATAGATATTATAAGGTCGTATTTGATTGACAAAGTCATTGCTACTATCAAGGAAAAATGGCCATGGGAGGATTCAATATATCCAATATTTATTCAACAAGACAATGCAAGATCACATATTGGTCAAAATGATGACGAGTTTCTCCGAGCAACGGTACAAGGTGAATTTGATATTCGCTTGATGTGTCAGCCTCCGAACTCTCCACATTTAAATGTTCTTGATCTCGGTGTTTTGGTGCTATTCAGTAACTAACATATAAAGAAGCGCCTAAAAATATGGATGAGCTTGTAAATGCCGTTGTCCATGCATTCGAAATTTTTTCGACGGCAAATTCTAATCCTATATTTCTAACATTGCAATTGTGTATGATAGAGATGATGCGAGCAAAAGGTTCGAACAAGTACAAGATTCCGCATATCAACAAAGCAATGTTAGAAAGAGAGGCTCGACTTCCCGTTCAAATGAGATGTAATCGCGAGTTAGTACAAGAAGTTCTAAGTTTTTTAGGTTGAACTGTTTTTGGAATTCACTGAACTAGTGAATTAGATTATGGTCACTTAATCAACTGTTATTCAAGAGCCTTATGGATTTCTCTTCTATTTCATTTTTTAGAACAAAAAAACCTTAGGTAGGACGTTTCTTTAAATAAACGTCCTATTCTTCTGATTATTTCCATAAGGCTTTTTTGTTCTAAAAAATAAAAAATAAAAAAGAAATCCATAAGGCTCTTGAATAACAGTTGATTAAGTGACAATAATCTAATTTACTAGTTCAGTGGATTCAAAAAACAATTCAACCAAAAAAACTTAGAACTTCTTGTACTACCTCGTGATTACATCTCATTTGAACGGGAAGTCGACCCTCTCTTTTTTTTGAACAACAAAACATGATATATATATATATATATATATATATATATTATAT